GGGTGGCGGGGCTGAAGAAGCAGTTCTACAAGGCGAGCCAGGTGAGCGCAGGCCGGGGCGGGGGGCGAGCGCTGGGTCCCCGGATGCTCGCAGTGGGGGGCCAGGCAGGGCCCTCGCTCGGGAGGGGGCCGAGGGGACCGAGGGGGCGGTGTTGGCATGTGTCCCCGGCCGGGTGGGGAGAGCCCAGGAGGGACGGGGGCTACGAGGTGGTCCAGGCCCCGCCCGCCATGTGGGGGGCTCCAGTCTCCTCGAGAAGGGTGGATAGAGTCCCTGGGAGGAGCAGAGATGCACCCAGAAGTTGGCCAGGGACGTAGACCCCTCTCCTCCTTCTCTCTCTTTTAAAGGTGGGGTTGGGGGAAGAGAAGGGGAAGAGACGAGTTCTCAGGCTGTCGACACAGACGTCTTGCCAGATAGCCCAGAGGCAGGGAGAATTTGCGACTGGAGCAATTTTTTTCAAAAACAAGGTACAAAGTAGAAAGGGTAGAATGAAAAATCAGTTTCCCACCCCCCCGCATTCTTAGGCATCCAGTCCCTCTCCCCAGAGACAAGGACTGTCATCGACTCCTTCCTTATGTCCCTTCCAAAAAATACGTGTACGCCTTTCTTTTAAACACACACACACGCACGCACAGACACACACAGTGTGATAGTATGTTCTACGTAATCTTTCGTACTTTGTGTTTTTCATTAAATTCGGAGTTCTCCGCTTCAGCACTGCTGACTTTCCGGGCTGGATTGTTTTCTATGATGGGGCCATCCTGGGCACTGTAGGGTGTTGAGCAGCGTCCCTGGCCTCCAGCCACTTCATGCCAGGAACAACCCCCACCACCAGTCATGTCCCTTAGTGGGTAGAATTACCCTTTCCTCTTCCCCAGAACTAGTGCATTAGAGTATACCTCTAGAGCTTCTTGGATCTTTTTAATGGTGATGTGGGATTCCATTCCATAAAGTATATCATAATTTTTTTGACCAGTTGTCTACTGATAGATATTTATATTGTTGTCAGTAATTTGAGGTGGGGGGAGGTGGCTGGCTGGTACGGGATCTGAACCCTTGACCATGCTGTTATAACACCCTGCTTTAAGCAACTGAGCTAACTGGCCAGCCTTGTTTCCAGTAATTTTCTGCTGCAAACAATACTACAGTAGAAAGCCAGTAAATATCTTTGCTCACAGGTGGAACTGTTTGTATACGATAAACTTCCAGAAGTAGAAAGCTGAATCCAAGACTAAATGCATCTTACATGTGATAGATACAGGATTTTTTGAAAGTCCAGGCTCCATTGCTCATTAATCTGGTGAAAGTTGTGGATCCATTCTCCAGAAGACTGAACAAATGTAAAATTCAATTTATAATTTCAAATTCAAGAAGTCCCAGATTCCTTGATTCCTATTGGACCATGAATTGCAAGTTAAGAACCTTGGGTGTAGAGTTTCTGTGGATTGACTCCGTGGAGGAGTGAGCGATCATCTTAGGAATTGTGTGGGCTGTGCTGGCAAACAGGGATTTACCCATAATTTTGAGAGTCCCAGTGAGAGGAAGGAGAAATGAGTACCCGGTAACAGCTGATACCTTTCACCCCTGGAAAGAGAAAAGTAATGACCCTAGTGGTTGTCTAGGGATGTAGATACTGGGGATCTATCTCTAGACCCCAGATAATAGCTAAACCCTAGGGAAAGAGAGATTTAATCCAGAGGAATTTTAGGGTTGTTGCTGAGAGTACTACCCCATTGCCCCAGCAGAATGGAATCAAGTGGCCCAGCACTGGGTTAGACCTTGCCCAGCAGGTGTCAGACCCCATGTGCTTGATGGAAGCACCTTAGAATGCTGCTCACTAACTGGGACCCTGATGCAGTCCCCCCCTACAGGAAAGAGGTCTCCATATGTCTTGGAATAATTTCTGGACCACTTTGTTGCCTCATGTAGGTAGGTCTCTGGAAGCCCTGCCCACTCCAGCTATCAGGGCTGGTGCTCCTGACCATATGGTCCCACACAGATACTCTGCTAGAGGAACTAGCTAGGCCTCTCAGGCCAGCCACCAGAACTTTTTCTATCTTGGGGGAAGCAGAATGACCTGCATTCAAATCTCTGGATTTTGATACAGTGTAAGCTGGTGGTTAGGATCAGTTTACTATTCTGACCTTCTGAGGCCCAGTCCTAAAAAATCACTACAGCAGCCATGTCCTGCTCAGAAAGCTATTGTCTTGGCCTGCAGATCAGTTCTGTGCTGAGTTGTGCTCTCAGGAATCACCCTGGCTATGGTCCATTCTCTTCTGCAATAGTTTCCTTACTTCTCTAACTTCTCAGTTATTTATCTGGACATGTCCATCTGTTGTGTGTTTCTTTTCTCATTCTTAGTAACACCTCTTTTGTCCTCTTCTGTGCCCTCAGAATACGGTTTTCTGTTCAAAACAGACATCTTTTGTTATGTGGTAATAACATTTATCGAGTTCTCATATGTGAATAGGCAATATGCTTTAAGCCAGTAAGTCTCGTCTGGACTCACTAATCCAGCCTAAGAGTAAAAACACTTCTCTTTGTACACAAAAGGATTTGGAGACATTTATCTTTCTGTAGAACAGTGGTTCTCAACCAGGGCCAATCCGCTCTCCAGAAGACATTGACAATATCTAGGGACATTTTTGGTTGTCACAACTTGATGGGGTGCTACAGGCATCGAGTAGGTGGAGGCCAGAGAGGCTGCTCCACACCCTATGGTGCATAGGGCAGCCCCTCCCTGCATCCAGTTAGCTAGTCCCAAAAGTCAGTAGTGCTGAGGTTGAGAAACTCTGCTATGAGATTTAAGAAAACAGCATAATTACACCAAGTCAAACAAAACAAGAACAAAAAAATCCTTTTTGGATCTTTCTTGTAGTAGTGGCTTGATTTTCCTAGTTTTCAAAACAGAAATAGCTGTATAATCACAGATGGACATGTCCATAAAACTCAGCATCCAGACCCCAAGTTCCCCTCCTCCCAAGTCCACTTATATCTGTGCTTCTCAACCAGGGGCAACTCTGACCCTTCCCTCTCCCCGCCCCTGGGACATTTGGCAATGTCTGAGACATCTCTGGTTGTCCCAACTTGGGGAGAGGGTGCTAATGATGTCAAGTATGTAGATGCCAGGGACGGTTGCTAAGCATCTTACAATGCATAGGACCCCCACACACACACATACACACCCCACCCTCTGAAGAATCATCCAGCCCCAAATGTCAGTAGCACGAAAGTTGAGAAACCCTGCTTAAAACAGGTTCTGTATTTCAAAGTCTTGTAACAGTGTTGTTTCTACATTGAGAAGTAGAAGTCAGGTGGATGTAGAAGCACAAGCTGGGAAAAGAAATTGGTTTCTAGCAGGTGAGGCTGTGATTGATTCAAAGTCTCTAATCTCTCATTGGTGATTTTGATAACAGACTTAGCAAATTCCACACCAATTCATCGCCTGGTAAAAAGTTGCAGGTCTTGTGCAAAATCGATTTGAGCCTGAGTGGGAAGTCTGTGGGTTTTTACTTCTTGTTAGCGACTGGCCACCGCCTGGTTAGAGGTGGGGGCTGGGGAAAGTTGAAGAATCAGTGGAGAAGAAAGCCGTAAAAGAAAGAGCCGTCTGTCTTGGCCCCATGGTTTTGGTCTCCCCCGTTGTGCCTGTGTAACACCCACTCCTGGTATTTGCACATCTAGAATTAAGGTATTCTGTTGAGTGTTTCTGGGGAACAAGGAGGTTTGTAAAAGAACCTCACTAGCAAGATGCAGACTCACAGTTTTACTTCTCAGTGTGGTGTGTGTTTGGGTTATGTTATTTCCAGACCTAAACTGCTAACTGGTTTCCTGATCATTCTTGTGGCTGGGCTGTGTGGAGATTTAAGAGTGTAACTAGGGGTAGAGCTGGCAGCTGCGTGGAATGCTGGCCTGACCTTTTTTTTTTTTTTTTTTTTTTTTTTTTGCCTGAAAGAAGGGAGAGAGTTTGAACAGAAAGATTGGTTCCATCTGAGCTGGGAGGAACATTCAGGACCACCACCTCCCATAGCTTCGAAGGCTCCCTAGGCCCTGGGTTTGTGCCTAGGAGAGTTCATACTTCCTGTGAGATGCATGGGGGTGAGGGGAGGGCTGTGGGCTGGGGCACCCTGGACCCTGATCTGTTAAAAAGGCAGTAGGTTGGGCCGGCCCAGTGGCGCAGTCAGTAGAGTGCGCGCTTGGGAGCGCGGAGACGCTCCCGCCGAGGGTTCGGATCCCATATAGAGACCGGTCTGCTCACTGGTTGAGCGCAGTGTGGGCGTGACACCGAGGGTTGCAATCCCGTTATCGGTCACGAAAAAAGACAAAAGGGAAAAAAAAAAAGGCAGTAGGTCAGATGAAGGGGAACCTAGAGGTATTCTGGCACTCTGAGCTATTTTTAAGCCTCATGTTGTGGAACTACGCTTTTGCCTTTCTCACAAAGTGCTTGGCTTCTTAAGTAATAAACGTGGAATGCTCTTAAGAAACGAAGGGCCGGCTGGTTAGCCCAGTTGGTTAGAGCACGGTGTTGTAACACCATGGTCAAGGGTTCAAGTCTCCATGCTGACTAGTCCCAAAAAGAAAAAGATACAAAAATGTGGAGCTCATAACCCCTTCACCTTGTGAATAATGACATAGAGCCTGTGCGCTGGGAATGACAGGTGATCTGGAGGTCCGTCCGTGGGGTCTGAGGGGGCCCAAGTCCAGCTGCTGTAGGCTCACCTCCAGAAGCCCTCTCTCAGGGAGGCGCTGGCAGCAGATATTGGAAGGGGTTTTGCTGTGGTAATGTCCACGTGTGATGGGAATTATCTTAAGTCCACTCTCGCAGGAAGCCGTGATGACTCAAGGCCTGGAAAGTGAGCTGTAAGATGCTTGAACCAGCAGCGCCGGAACCCTGGGCCATCGTGGACAGGCGGGACCTGCTCTGCCCACACAGCTTTCTGTTCACTGGCCCACAGAGTGGTAGAGCCTGAGGCCTGAGCTGCGTGTTCACTGGACTGTGGAGATACAGAAGTTTGAGACTGTCCTTGTTTAGAGGAATCTGGGGGCT